ACACTCAGTTTATCAATTTAAAAATATCCCTCCAAACTATGAATTCTAATTAATAATTATTCATTGGTACTTTTTTAACGATCAACCAATGATTGTTTATCATCAACCAACAGCTGCATCATCTCAAGGCCTCGAAGTGATTTGTGTTAATGAATTAAACCTCAGAGGAGAGAGGTTGGTTCCTAGGCGTTAACACAAAACCTTTTTAAAAGAGTAGACAATCACACAGCATAACACTTTAAGTGGGGGAATGGAGAATAAAAATGTATCCAATTGAAAGTGCAGGGGAATTTAGAGAGGAAAAACGTGATTACCCGATCTGGAAAGAAGCCAGACGCAATGTTTAAAATCTTATTCTCGGGGAATGTGTCTTGAAATCCTTAATGACTGCAGGATCATAAGACATGGCGCATGTTTTCTGTGCTTAAAAACTAAAAGAAAAACAAAGACAGGGGAAATCTGTATTTTTTTTTTTTCCTTCCTGATTCTAGACACATCTGATATTTCAGAAACCAGCGTAACACATGCATGGAGTTATGACCCAGTGTAGAGCAAAAGCAGAAAGATGAAAGACACTACTCCAAAATGAAAATCAGTCTTCAATGCTTGCAAGGGAAAAAAAAAAAAGGTTTTTTTGGGAAAAAAAGAAAATTAAATAAGAAATTCACTCTTATTAATGCGATCTGCAGGAACAGCTGAAGAAAAATAAAATGCCCTTGTTTCCTTCAAGCTCTGAAGGACGGGCCTCCCCTCCTGGCACGAGCCAGCACGTGAGCCCTGAGTCACCCCTCTGGCCCCAGCGCTCCTCCTTTCTCCTCGGGGCATCAGGACGTTTCGGATCCCAACAGGCTCCAGATACAGAGATGATATTTCTAACATGCTAAACTTTTCATGTTGCTTAAATATCTTTATGTATAGCCAGGAAGACCGGAGTCCCGCCAGAGCAAGCGGGGAGGGGGAAGGCAGAGAGCGGGCAGGATTCATGTGCTTTGGGTTATCCCCCAGCCCAGCCCAGGCACCAAGGGGAAGTAGTTCTGTGCCAGAAAGATTTTAGCAATTTACTCTCCCATGGTAGAGAGCAGGACTAGCCTTAGTCTTCTGAAGATGTTCTCCCTCTAGTCTTCATTGAATGTGAGGTACACGAAATTTAGGGTCGGTCAAGTTTATGGCATTAAGAAGTCAGCGCTGGGCGCGTGACGGGATGCTAGTATCGGTTTCAGTAGTAGCTGCTTTCTCTGTAATAGCGAGTGACGAGCTCGTGTACAATGAATCTGCGGGGAAACAAAAGCCGAGTTCAGAAGTACTTGTGACACTAATTAATTATAAATCCATTGCCGATAGAATTAAAGCTGCACAAGCAGCTCTCTTATTCATGCAAATGCAGGTTTGAGAATTGGAAAAACATTTTTTTGCAACAAGTGAGAAGCAATTTTTCAAAATTTTAAGTGACTTGAAAAGTTTGATCCAACAGCTTTTTAGATTCACGTGTTTCGTGTGACGCACACCATGAGGTTTCAATTAGCTTTTGAGCAATCTTAAGCTAAAAAGCAATGCAACCAAACAAAAGGTCGTTTTAAATAGAAACTATTATTGCCTCATTTGTTAACCGTCAGAATGAAATTGCCGAAAACTCATCAAATATGTTTGGTCAACCCAGAGCTGTACTTGGGGAGGGGCTTTTGTCTGAAGACTTAGTGCGATCGCAGCCAGAATATTTCTGGGGGCGGAAAAGGGCACCGTTATCATTGTTACCTTACAGACAGAAGCAGCGAGTCTGAAAGTCGCAGTCACCCCGGAGGAAAGTGACACCCCGGTGCCCGCTGTGACTCCAGGGGAGAGCTGAGCCCGTTTCAGCCGCTTTGCTGCAAACCCTGCTCGATGCCTTACGTCGCCTTCGGAGCGTCCTGCTGTGGGGGCAATTTGTGGGTTCAGCTCATTGGCGGCAGATGAACATCCCTGAAAAAATGGCAGCAGCTAATGAGGATGGGAGTTTCTAGATGGGAAGGGGATGGAGGCATCATCCGAGGGCCGCAGGAGTCAGCGGGAGAGTTTATTTAGTTTGATGGCTTTTGCAGAGGTCTGAGGTGAGAGGGGGGCAGATTTGGAGCCAGATGAGACGACTTCCATTTTTGGGCCATTTTCCCTTGTAAAAACAGCTTGGATCTGGCCCAGCTGACCCCATCCACCTCTCAAAAGGTGCTGTGGCATGTTTTGAA